ACACACACACACACACACACACACACACACTCACACACACACACACACACACACATACAAACCCACACTGTCCCCGCCTATTCTCCGTACCCCTTTCTCATTAACTACTCCATTCCGTCCCTTATGATTACCCAATTCTTTCTATCACTTTCTACACCCCTCCACTCACCTCCCCAATCCTCCCTCCCTTTTCAATCTCTATTCCTAGATGTCAGTGCCCGCCTGGTATCACCACACAGGACTGCAGTGCCGGCGACCCATGCACCCCCAACCCCTGCCACAATAAGGGCGTGTGTCTCCCCGTACCCTCGCTCGGACCACCCCTTCTGCCCCCGCCCTCTCAAGCATTCAGTCCTTTCTTTCCTTCTCCTTTCGGAACCTCTCAAAAAGACGGAAATTCTGTCCCTTCACTTGGAACCACTCCTCGACAAAATTCTCAACAACAGAGAAGATATTCTTGTCGATGCCAGCCAGGATTCACGGGCCCAAATTGTGATGACGTAGAACGTAATAACTGTGTCCGCACTCCGTGTCTCAATAACGGGGTGTGCGCAACTCAAACCACGGGGTCCGCCGTGCCGCCGGTAATGATATGCAGATGTCCTTTAGGATTCTCCGGCCCACGCTGCGAGATAGCGGAATCCTGCAAAAGTCGGCCATGTTTGAATAACGGGCGATGTACCAGAAGTAAAGATGGCGACCGCCGTTCTGCATCTTCTCTGTCCAGGAAATCACGTGCTGTGATGGTGTGCTCATGTCCGGCAGGATTCACTGGACGTTTCTGCGAGACACAAACTGACCAATGTGGTTCTCGGACCTGCCTGAACAACGGCCAGTGTCGCAGAGATTCGAACGGGAGACTGCGCTGCGTCTGCCCACATGGCGTAATCGGGACGTTCTGCCAGACTTTGATTACTTGTGAGTTCGTACCATGTCTGAACCGAGGCGTGTGTGCCAGGAGACCCCCGCAAAACGCCCGCTCTCCGACCACGCCTGTCTGCGTCTGCGCAAAAGGATTCACCGGCATGCGCTGCGAGAAGGAAGTGACTTCGTCACCGTGTGACGTGATTTCCTGTCAAAATGGCGGCCGCTGTTCGTTGAGTCGGACTGGCGTGGCGAAATGTCGCTGTAAGAGAGGGTGGACAGGGCGGAGATGTGAGGTGCTGAAAGACAGGCAGTTTGGGCGGGATAAGTGCCAGGGGTACTGTCGGAATGGCGGAACGTGCTCTTTGTCTACGGGTGAGTTACACTATTTGTCTTGTTTTGTTTTCGTTTGTTAGTTGGTTTTACTTTTTAAAAATTGTTTACATGTTTGATTTGCGTGTTTGTTTGTGTGCTTGTCTATTTTTGTTTATTTTCCTTGTTTCTTTATGTTAATGTATATATCATTGTGTGTGT